TTGTTCCTGATTTACAGCATCCGCAGTTCTTTCAGTTTTTATTAGGTGGGAAGCTGTATGGTCCGAAGTCTTAGCAAGAATTAAAAGTGAAAGAGTGGGAATCTTAGTTAGAATTCTGATAGAGCCTTAAGAAAAGTGGCTCATGAGATAGATAGATGATGCTTAGTTTTAAATTTTCAAAACTCCCCAGATTTGGGAAAGATCCCCATTAGATGAGAATATAGCAAATGTAACTCCTTTATTCAAAAAGGGATGGAGACTGAAAGCAAGAAACTACAGGCCAGTTAGCTTAATATCTGTCAGAGGGAATTTTCCCAAGAAAGTATTAATAAATAAATATAGCAGGGCATTTAGACACATTCAAGGTAATCAGGCAGAATCATAGAATTCCTACAGTATGGAAGCAGCCCATCGAGTCCATACCAACCCTCCGAAGAACATCCCACCCAGACCCATCCATCCCCCCTGCCAACCTATCCCTGTAACCCTGCATTTCCCATAGCTAATCCACCTACCCTGCACATCTTTGGATTGTGGGAGGAAACCAGAGCACCTGGACAAAACCCACGCAGACACGGGGAGAACGTGCAAACTCCACACAGACAGTCACCCGAGGGTGAAATCGAACCCGGGTCCCTGGCGCTAACCACAGTGCCACCCTTAGTTAGTATGGTTTTGTGAAAGGGAGATCATGTTTAACTTGTCTATTGGATTTCTTTGAGGAAGGAACAAGTAATGCTGTGGATAAAAAGGAACTAGTGGATGGACTTTATTTAGATTTCCAGAACACATTTGATGAAGTGCCAAATCAAAGGTTATTGTGGAAAGTAAATGCTCAGGGTGTAGGGATGACATGTTGGCAAGGGTAGAAGATTGACTGACTAACAGGAAGCACAGAGTAGGCATAAATCAATCTTCTGCCCAATGGCAAGATGTGACGAGTGACGTATGACAGATCTCAACTATTTACAATTTATATAAATGACTTAGATGAAGGGACGGAAGGCATGGTTGCCAAATTTGCACGTGACGCAAAGATAAATAGGAAATTAGGTCATGAAGAGGACATAACGTGGCTTCACAAAGATACAGAGTGGTTAAATGAGTAAGCAAAGACCTGACAAATGGAGTACAGTGTGGGAAAATGTGAAATTGTCCATTTGGCAAGAAGGATTAAAAGTAAATAATTACCTCAATGGCAAGAGACTTTAGAACTCTGAGGTACAAAGAGATCTGAGTTTCCTCATTCAAGAATCACAAAACGTTAGTATGCAAGTGCAGCAAGTACTGGAGTATTATTGTTTATTTTGATGAGAATTGAATATGGAAGGAGGGAGGTTATGCTTCAGTTAGACAGAACATTGGTAAGACCACATCTGGAGCTGCTGTGTACAGTTCTGCTCTTCTTATTTGAGGAAGGGTGTAAATGCGTTGAAAGCAGTGCAGAGAACGTTTACCAGACTGATACTCGCAATGTGTAAGTTGTCCTGTGAGGAAATGTTGGATAGGCTTGGCTTGTATCTGCTGTACTTTAAAAGAGTATTGATTGAAACACAGAAGATTTTGAGGGATCTTGACAGGGTAAATGTCATGGAGTCATACAGCACGAAAGCAGGCCCTTCAGCCCAATTCCTCCATGCCAACCAGGTTTCCTAAACTGGGCTAGTCCCATTTACCTGCATTTGGCCCATGTCCCTCTAAACCTTTCCTATTCATGGAATTGATGCTGTCACTTATGGGAGAATCATAGAACTAAGAATCTAGTTGAGAATCAGAAGTGTCCCATTTAAAAACACTGGTAATGTGAAATGTTTATTCTCAGCGGCACATAGTTCTTTGGAACTCTATGCCTGGAAAGATAATGGAAAGAGAGTCTTTGAATATCTTCAAGGCAGAGGTTAGTAGGTTCTTGGCAAGCGGTGGTGGGGGGTGGGGGTGGTGAAAGTTTATCAGGCAGTATGTGAATTTGAGTCTGACTCCTGCTCTGGAAACCAAACAGAAATAGATCCTTGGCTTCACCTGTATATTTAAGAGCTGAGACGTGCCAGTCTGCAGGGTCAGAAAGTGATCCTCCCATGGGCTGTGGGACTTGGAAACCATCCAGCAGCCAGCAGATACCAATAGCCATGCGGCAGCCTCTGTTCCCTGGATCTTGCCAAAGGCAGCCCGGAGACTGTGTTAATGAGCTGAAGCTGGAAATACAAGCAGCTTCGGGTCACATGAGGAAAATCGTTGTTCAGGTATTTCCTTCCGGGGCACTGTATCCATCTGATGGTTGGTTTAACACATTCATGTGGAGTCAAAGGTAGACAAGGTAGTGAAGAAGGCTTTTGGTATGCTTTGCCTTCATGGGCCAGTGCATTGACTACAGGAGTTGGAAGGTCATGTTGTGGCTGTGCGGGACGTTGATGAGGCCACTTTTGGAATTCTGCGTTCAATTGTGGATTCCCTGCTAGAGGAAGGATGTTGTTAAACTTGAAAGGGTTTGGAAAAGATTTACAAGGATGTTGCCGGGACTGAAGGGTTTGAGATATAGGGAGAGGCTGAATAGGCAGGAACTTTTTCCCTGGTGCACCAGTGACTGGGGGGTGACCTGATAGAGGTTTATAAATTCATGAGGGGCATGGATAGGGTGAATAGCCCAGGTCTTTTTCCTCCGGTAGTGAAGTCCAAAACTAGAGGGCACAGGTTTACGGTGAGAGGGGAAAAATTTAAAAAGGACCTGAGGGGTAACTTTTTGATACAGAGGGTGGTGCTTGTATGGAATGAGCTGCCAGAGGAAGTGGTGGAGGCTGGTGCAATTACAACATTTAAAAGGCATTTGGATGGGTATATGAGTAGGAAGGGTTTAGAGAGATATTGGCCAAATGCTGGCAAACGGGACTAGGCCAGATTGATATGTCTGGTCGGTGCAGATGAGTCGGTCTGATGCTCTGCTTCCATGCTGTAAGACTGTCTGTGTTCACCATTAATAATTGCTTTTTTGTTGACATTTTCTGTGCAATTCTTTCATTCTGTTAATATCGTGGATCAGCACAATTTCCACATGCACGGACAGATTTGCACTGTATGTCTGATCTCAGGAGAAAGTCAGCATAGCAAGAATATAATTGCCACACTTGGTCTCTGCATTTGGCCGATGTATTTATTACAGGTATAGGTGTAAACAAAGAGTCCAAAGGCAAGTCTGTTTCCAAAAGGGTAGAAAACCCCGTGCCTTACGGTGAATAAAATGTCAGTGCCCGATAACCACAGTGTGGTAGTAACTCCAGTTGATGGGTATCATGTACAAGTGTACAATCTGGCTAATGTATTAATGTGTGCACCATTGAACAGATTAGATCATTGCCTAGAAATACCACACAAAACAACGTTGTGGTTAGTGCGGATAAACCCCACACTGCTGGAGAATTCAGCAGAATCTGAATGTTCTTTTAGCCCATGTGTAGAGATCTCTAATCCCACAAATATTACAAGTGACCTTTTTAGGGTCTTTAGACTATAATCTAGAATGACCAAGTCAATAATGCAGAATTATCTTGTTTTGCTAAGTCTGTCTTACAGTGTAAGTATTGACCAATTCTAGATGTACAGAGAAACCAAAGTGCAGAATCTTCACTGTTGAAAGCAAATCTATCATTTAAAGGGACACTGACCACTTCCATCACAACACAACCCACAGTGTGGTCCTGAGCCCCACTGGTCAGGAGGAGGCTGGATTCCATCAAACACAGGTCTCCCTCTTTCACAAAGAAGAACCCACCCTGACTGGTAGTCCTGGCTTATTCGAGTGGGATTGGATAGTGTGCAAGTAGTTAACGTAGAACAGTACAACACAGGAACAGGCCCTTCAGCCCACCATGCCCATGCCAACCATGATGCTGTTCTAAACTAATTCCATCTGCCTGCATGTGGTCCATATCCCTCTATTCCCTGTCTGTTCATGTGTCTGTCTAAATGCCTCTTAAACGTTGATAGCATATCTGCTTCTACCACCTGCCCTGGCAGCATGTTACAGGCATCTAGCACCCAATGTGCAAAAAACTTTCCTCGCACATCTCCTTTAACCTTTCCCCCTCTCAGCTTAAATCTATGTCCCTATTTGGCATTTCCACCCTGGGAAGAAGATTCTGACTATCCAGCACATCTATGCCCCTCATAATTTTATATACCTCCATCAGGTCGCCCCTCAGTCTCTGAAGCTCTGGCGAAAACAATCCAAGTTTGTCCAACCTCTCCTTGTAGCTAATCCACTCCAATCCAAGCAACATCCTGGTAAACCACTTTTTGCACCCTCTCCTATGCCTCCACATCCTTCCGATAGTGTGGTGATCAGAACTGCACACAATACTCCAGATGTGGCCTAACTAAAGTCTTATACAGCTACAACATGACTTGACAACGTTTATAACCAGTGCCGATGAAGTCAAGCATGCCATATGCTTCTTTACCACCTTCTCCACTTGTATTTCCACTTTCAGGGAGCTATGGACTTGCATCCCAAGATCCCTCTTTATATCAATTCTCCTAAGGGTCCTGCCATTTACTGCATACTTTCCTTTTGCATTTGACCTCCCAAAATTACCTCACAGTTATCCGGATTAAACTCCATCTGCAATTTCTTGGCCCAACTTTCCAACTGATCTATATCCTGCTGTATCCTTTGATAACCTTCCTCACTATCCACTATTCCACTAATTTTTGTGACATCTGCACACTTACTAGTCAGACCCTTACATTTTCATCCAAATCATTGACATATATTACAAACAATAGAGGTCCCAGCACTGATCCTTGCTGAGCACCACTGGTCATGGACTCCAGTAAAAAGAAAACCTCTCCACAATTACCCTCTGTCATCTACGGCCGAGCTAACTCACCATGGATCCACATAACTTAATCTTCTGGATCAGCCTACCATGAGGACTTTGTCAAATGCTTTAGCAAAGTCCATGTAGATATCTACTGCCCTACCCTCATCAATTATCTTCCTCACTTCCTCAAAAAATTCAATCAAGTTTGTGAGACAAGATCTCCCCACACAAAGCCATGCTGACCCCATCCCTAATAAGTCCATTCTTTTCCAAATGCGAGTAAATCCTGCCCCTAAGAACCTTCTCCAATAATTTCAGTACCACTGATGTAAGGCTCAACGGCCTGTAATTTCCTGGGTTATCCCTGTTGCCCTTCTTAAACAAAGGAACAACATTGGCTATTCTCCAGTCTTCTAGGATATCGCCTGTGGCAGAGATGATTTTGTTCGGGCAGATTGGAGGGATTCCCTGAGGTTGTAGGGATTGAAAGTCAAATGGGGTAAGGGCCATTTTGATTCCTTTTGCATTTTCTTCCGCAGGTGAACGTGTTTGGATTTGGTGCTGATAGCAGAGGGAATTGGCACCACTACTGGGAGAACAACAGATATGCTGGAGAATTCCGAAAGACTGGAGTGCATGATGCAGATTTTGAAGCAAAAATAATAAATTTACTAGCTGAAGCAGGAAAAATCAAAGTTTTCCGAGGAAACTGAAGAAAAAGGCCTAATTATGCAGTTGAATTTTTTTTAAAAGCGGGGTGGTGTGGACTTTACAACGACTTGCTGTTTCTCCTCACCAAGTGGAGAAATGACACAATTACCCCTTAATTGCATATTGGACATTTTTTAAAAAATCAAAATCATGCAGAACTCTGGAATAGAGAAGACGGAACAGCTGCTAATTTAGTATTACCTTCAAACGTTCACCAAATCATTTCATTGGATCATTTCAAGATGGCTGACCAGCACCCTGGTGGCTGATGGGTAGCTAGCTCGATGTACAGTGGGCTATCAGAGAATTTAGATGTTTCCAAGGACGATTTTAATATTTGAATTGTGGAGTTGTCAGGAATGTATGCAATGACAATATTGCCCATGTATAGTGATGATGGGGTCTGGGGATAAAGGGATATGCATGTTTTGAGGAGAGTCCTGTCTTTTGGTTAACCCTCTGTTGGATTTGTTTCATCAGCAAGTTACTGAAACCACTTTTTACTTCCAGACTGTGGAAATGGAGCTTGTCATTTGGAGGCAAGACCAGTGTGCGTTAGAACACAACCAGAAGCAAACCAGTGTGCTCATTTGCTGTCAGTGGTAAATTAAACCAAGCACAGCCTCCATCGTCGCACAGCAGCCGAGAGCATTTCCTTGCATCCCGCATTTGAGTCTCCTTTGCAAAGGAAATGTGTGATACCAGATTCACTGCTTGGAGTTAATGGGAATGCCACATGTCTGGTGTCCAACAGGGGATAGACATTTAGAAGACAGGGCTGCAGAACGGGGAGTGTGAGTCCATTTTAACATTGTTTCCCCAGGATCCCTTAACCATGATGATGCCATCTTGGCCATTACCTAATAACCGTCTAATATACTGTTCCCAGAAATAGAATTTTATTTTACATTTACTTTACTGTGACTTTGCGTTAAATTTGAGGCATGATTTCTGCCTCCGCGGGATCTGCAGCACAACAAAAGATATGAGCTCAGTGACACAAGCCTCGCAGTAGTAACTGGAGGTTGATGCAAAGAATCCTGGCTGTAGACAGATCTCAAGGACTGCAGAGCTGATTGGCATCTTAGGGGGAAATGTAAAGCACAGGTCCCCTTTGTCAAGGGACTGAGGCCCTCAAGCCGTCTGAGCAGAGCGAGTCCACCTTCCCATACAGTCGTATGTGATTGGGTGCTTCCTATAGTGATACTGAGAGCAACATGGGACATGAGGGCTGGGCATACACCTGTCTCAATAATGGGTCAGCTTACGTCAATCGCAGGCACCAGCTCTGAAATTCGTAATCGGAAAGTCCTGGGGCTACCCAAATGGGGCAAAGATCCAAAGTACTGACCCCCCCCATACCTTATTCCCCTTTTCCCGGGTTAGTGTGACTGCAGAGGGCAGAGGCTCTGTGCACAAATAGAGGCAGCATTATCTCTCACCGAAATATTAAACCACTTGAACTTTCTAATCAGACATACGAAGAACAGGTAGCACAGCACCATCTCCAAAGCACAAGGAACGCAGTATTATAGCTGTCATGTAGTCTTCCTGTCTGTCTTAAAGAATGAAGGAAACGTTAGGAACTACTGTAGAATTTTTATTTGTTTTCTCCATTGAATAATAAAACACAAAACCCATTCTTCCTCAAATACTGATTTGAAGAAGCAATGGCAGAGAAGAAAAAATGAAGTGTTTGTGTCTGTTGTACTCTGATATTTCAGCTCTGTTATCTTTGAATCTGTCACATGCCCTGTGGACTGGAAAAGGATTCCCCTGTGATGATGGCTGTGACTCAAATGTTGTTGAGGGAACCTTTGGGTTACACCGGACTTCAGAAGAAATCTTCTTCATCAGTCAAACCTTTTAGTCTCTTTCTGTGAGACTGTCTGGTGCTAGGCAGCCTGGCTCGAAGCAGGGTTAGCAGTACATAAACAGCAGTAGAAATACCCGCAGTTACACACAGGGCACCTTGGAGGGCACTGCTGGACCTCAGAATCCATTTAGCGGAGGTTGGAGGGGGTCAGTGGGGAGGGCTTTGACCAGCCCAGGGATGGTTGTCAATAGTTCTGCCATGTTCGACCAAGAGCAAAGTCTGTCAATGTTCAAACACAGTGGATATATTCAAATGTTGAAGTTGCAATTGTAGTGACGTTTTGGATGGTAGCTCTCAAGCTGTGACGGCATGCTCCATTTGCCTGCATCCAACCCAGGCAAGCTGGTATCAAATGTGTACCAGCGGTTAGGCACAGCTGCAGTCACTGAGAGCATGGTCCAGCACCTCAGTGCTGCAGTTTGGTATCACCCCAGCACCTCTGTTTGCAATGCTGCTGTCGGATACTCTACCTTCAGGGACAGGCGGGTTGGACCAGGCTGCATTTCAGGGCTTAGTGCCCACTCACGTTGCACGTTCCTGGGTGCCCACCGTATCTCAGCCTTCTCTTGCCTCTTTGCATGAAGTGAGGCCCTTCAAAAGGCAGAAGGAGTAAATGGACACACACCAGGTCCAGGGGAAAGGCAGCCGTGATCACAAAACGCTCGCAGTGTGAACCGCATGCCTTGACAACAATTTGTCAAATAAAAGTCCCACCGCACCCATGCCCCAAGTTCTCTTAACCACATCAAGCAACGTTCTGAATCGATTCCACTTATGGCCGTGAGGAACAAGCAAATTCTCTGCATTCGGGAAAGATTAACCCTCGTTGCCAAAGTAACCATCCCTTACCATTTTCCCTCACACTGCACATGATGCAGGAGCTGCCCATGTTACACCTTGGACCCTCAAACAGTGTGTAGCACTATGGATGGTAAACGATCTGTACCTTCATTCTTGTAGTTGCAGCTTAAAGAAACATTTGCTCGCATAACTGATGATAAAAAGTGACCGTATATTTACAAATGTGATAACATGTTTACAATGAATTTTTACCTGCGCCACCTATTTTCCTCAGAAGGTCTTCTTCCTTTCCATCCCACTGTGTCTAGGGTGTTGTCCCAGTGTTCATAGCTGAGCTGGAGGGAGACTGCCCTCTCGTGGAGCTTTGAAATTTTGGTCAGGTGACCGGGCAGTGTTTGTTCAGCGAGGGCCCAGACATTCCAAGTGTGTCCTGTCCTGAGAAAGGTTCAGCCTCTACTTGGCTTGAAATCCCACCTGACTGAGGGTGACCATAAGAAATAGAAACAGGAGTAGGCCATTCAGCCCCTCGTGCCTGCTCCACCAGTTCAATAGGATCGTGACTGATCCAACATTCCTGCATTTTCCCTGTAACCCTTGATTCCCCTACTGATCAAGAATCTATCAATATTACCATAAATAAGGACCCCACACTTACAGCTCTCAGTGGCAAGGAGTTCCAAAGACTCTCAACTCCGAGAGAGAAGGAATTCCTCCTCATCTCAGTCTTAAATTGGCACCTCTTTATTCTGAGACTGTTCCCTCTGGTCCTGGACTCTCCCATGATGGGAAACATCCTCTCAGCATTTACCCTGTCAAGCCCTTAAGAAGCCTAGATATTTCAGTGAGATCACCTCTCATTCTTCTAAACTCTAGTGAGTAGAGTCCCAACCTGTTTAACCTTTGCTCATAATACAATCTCTCCATACCAGGGATCATCCCAGTGAACCTTCTCTGAGCTGTCTCCAATGAAATGATACCTTTGTTTAAATAAGGGGACCAAAACTGCTCAGTCTCTAGATGTGGTCTCACCAGCACCTTGTACAGTTCTAGTAAGTCTTCCCTACTCTTATACTCCAACCCTCCAAGGATGGAGGTGGAAGATTTGAGAGGAGACTGTCGGTGGTTCTTCCTCCAGCTGGGTATGGTCTTCTCCCACTCGGGCAAGGATCATTTCCTCATGGGATGGTGAGTGAGCGAGGAGATGGAAGTCAGGAATCCCACCACCCTCCTTGGCTCATTCAGCCCTATCAAAGGTCACTTCCCACTGGAATGAAAGAAGGGGAGGGATTGAGTGAAATGGGAGTGCTTGGCACCGCTGTTAGGGTGTTACAGTGGACGAGGCATACTATGCAGTCAGGGTGCTATGTTAACAACAGCATCTCCATTGTAACTCCACGCTCAGAATGAGAGATAAGTTTAGGGAGCCCAGCTACACACTGACATTAACCAGCCAGGCTACTGGAGATTGACTCATAACAAGTATGTGCTATGGGAGATCGGTTGTTAGATATCCCAGTGTTTCCTCCAACAAGCAATCACATCGTCGACATCTCAGACTTCACTTTATGACTTTGTTTATATTCCCTGTCACAAAAGCATTTGTTAGACCTGGGGTGGGGGGAGGGGGTCACAGTCAGTGAGATTATTGCTACCTGGGCAGGAATGCTGTGTTTAATTCAAATTGTCTCTATACGTACCTTGGAGAGCCAGCACCACCAAACGGCTTCGAGAGTTTGTACAGTAACATTAATCGCCCGACAGACAGAATGTAGGAGGCCTGTTTTATTGAGCCGGGCTCCTAGGATATCATACAAAAGACCATTATCAAAAGCTCTTCAACCTGGGATTCCTGGAGGTCAAGGCTTTTGTTTTGCAGATCACTTGCCCAACAAGTTCCCAAAGTTCAGCTGTAAAGTTAACATTATGAGAATGGAATGAGACTTGAAATGCATTGGAAGATGTGACGATTTCCTGTGCTCCCAAGATGTAATACATTCCTTGTTATAAAGGTGATTTGTTTTTTTATTAATGGGATGAGGGCGTCGCGGGCCAGGCCAGCATTTATTGCCCAGAGGGCAGTTAAGAGTCAACCACATTGCTGTGGGTCTGGAGTCACATGTAGGCCAGACTGGGTAAGGATGGCAGTTTCCTTCCCTAAAGGACATTAATGAATCAGATGGGCTTTTCCCAACAATTGACAATGGATTCATGGTCATCGTTAGACTCTTAGTTCTGGATTTTTATTGATTTGATTTTGATTTGATTTAGACTTTATTGTCACATTTACTCAAGTACAAAAATACAGGAGTACAGTGAAATGTTTTCAATGTTGCCACACACAGCACCATCTTAGGTACATAGGGACAAAAACTTAAGAACAAGGTAGAAAGAAATAAGGAACAAAGTTAAACATTACAGTCCTTCTCAGTGTTAAGTCTTTTTTAAGTGCTTAGCCATGCTGGGACCACAAGTCTGACAAGCACTCAATCTCCTCCGCTTTGGCATGCTTGCTCCACACTGGCTCTATCTCCCCTGGTCTCATGATCACTCCAGATATTGGGGGAACCTCCATTGCTGCATTGGGCTCGCTCCTGGGATCTCAGACCCTGGAATCCTCAGCCTCGCCTTCGGTCCCCGCGCTCTGGGCATCGGCAACTCCCCGAGTGTCCCAGGACAGGCCCCCGGCTGCTGCCTCGCACTGGACATCCACCGGACAATTCAACATGGCCGATGCCATCACTGCTGCTCCCCAGAGGGTAAGTCAGTAGAGAAAACAAAAGACAAAAACTAAAAACAGAAAAAGCAAATGAGAAAAGAAGAAAAGCCTATGCATTCTATTGGTAGATGGTGGAATTTGAAACCAGAACATTACCTGGTTCTCTGGATTAACAATCCAGTGATAATTCCACTAGGCCAGGGCTGAGGAGATCCATCCCAAAACCAAAGGTGAGGATTCCTTCAGCTGATGTCGAGATTGACATCATCAGTGAACAGTTAATATTTCCAGTGTTTTTTTTTTCAGAATGTGCTCACGGTATCAGTAAAGAAACTGGAATAGATTTGTTTACCACATTAGGCTTGTACCCCACCCCAACAGGATCGAGTGTGGGTTAGGGAAGTGGGAAACCTAACCAATCAGTTGTGAGCTTACCTACTTCTGTGTGGACTGGGTACTGAATCGTAACCCGCTTTCAAGAGGTGGGTCAATGATTATAATTTACAGAACAGGACAGCGTAGAAATAAGCCCTTCAGCCCACTGTGTCCATGCCGACCATGATGCCATTCTAAACTAATCTCATCTGCCTGCACTTGGTCTGTATCCCTCTCTTCCCTGCCCATTCATGTGTCTGTCTAAATGCCTCTTAAACTTTGCTAATGTGTCTGTTTTTACTGTCTTCCCTGGCAGTTAATATCCACTCTACCCATACCTCTCATAATTTTATATACTTCCATCAGGTCGCCCCTCAGCCTCCAACATTCTAGCGAAAACATTCCAAGCTTGTCCAACTTCTCCTTATTGCTAACACACTCCAATCCAGGCAACATCCTGATAAACCTCTTCTGCACCCTCTGCAAAGCCTTCACATCCTTCCAATAGTGCAGCAACCAGAACAGCACCCGGTACTACAAATGTGGCCCAACCAAATTCTTATACACATGCAACATGATTTGCCAACTATTGTACTCAGTGCCCCGACTGATGAAAGCAATCATGCTGTAGCCTGTTTTTACCCCCTTATGCACTTGTATTGCCACTTTCAGTGAACTATAGTCTTGGATCCCAAGATCCCTCTGTAAATCAATGTTCCCAAGGCCCCAGCCATTTACTATATATTTTCCTCTTGCATTTGACTTCCCAAAATGCACCACCTCAGACTTGTCTGGATTACGTTTCATCTGCATTTTTCTGCCCAACTTTCCAATTGATCTGTATGCTGCTGTATCTTTTGACAACCTTCCTCTTTAGCCACAACTCCACAAATTTTTTTATGTCATCTACAAATGTACTA